TCTATGCCTTGGAAAATTGTTACACTCCTTTGAGTTGTAAAATATCTATGAGAGTTCTTTTGTGTGTTTATGCCAGCATCACTTCCTTTGGGACATCGTCTTTTCATTACAACCCATTTCTTCACTTATGTTGATAAATACTAAGTTCACTTTCACTAAGTGTCTCTGGCTTCTTACCTAGAGTCTCTATCAAAGAGTGCAGTATCAGCATTCCCACAGTCAGCCCAAATTTTATTTCCAGTGTTACTGCTTTTCGTTTCTTTGCTGTATTCTTTGTCTTTTTTGGCCAGTTACCTGTTTTAACTCTCCAGTTTTGTAAAATGTCACGTGCCTCTATCACCAGGACACAAAAAGGCAACACAACTACGACATGTTGCTGTCTGTGCGTAACAGATGCACGGTGACCAGTCACTGACGGATTTTGAGATAAGTGACATTATTGGTTACTGACCATGGGACACACCTGTTATTAGTGGGTTGTGGGTTGAAGAGCTAACAGTGAAGTTTGTACTTAGTAATTACAGCTAATATGCCATGGAAATGAAATATGAACTGTGTTGTTTGGGGACTGGTGTTATTTAAGCCATGTAACTGAAATTGTGCCTGTCAGAATTGTTCAAAGACTGCCTGCATATGTATATGCACAATATATGCATATATGTGCATCTACACACATATCTGTGGAAATATATAAAGGAATAGAAAAAAATATACTAGGACACAACAAATTCCTAATTAACAATATAGAGGTGAATTTAGGGAAGAGGGCAGGGAGAAATTAGTATTTATTGATCTTACGCTATTTTTGTATTGTTTGAATTTTCATAGATTAATATTTTTTTAGAACAAAGTTGAGTAGAAGGGCTAGGTGTGATGGCGCACACCTATAATCCTAGGACTTTAGGAGGCTGAGGCGGGAGGATCACGAGGCCAGGAGTTCAAGACTAGCCTGGGCAACATAAGGAGACCCTGTCTCCACAAAAAATAAGTGGGAAAAAGATTGCTTCCGTTTCCCACAGTCACAAGGCTTGTTTTGTGTACATTCTGGAAAAGGTAACCAGAATTGTAATGAGGATATAAGAATGTTGAATACATAAATATTTGGGGGAAAAAAACCCTATGATGGTTATCTTAGAATATAGGGAGAAAAATATAAAATGAGAGTAAGTGTGCCACAGCTTACTGCAGTGTCTAAGATACCAACTCTGTGCTAGCTGACCCGACACTGTCACTTAACAGAATTGCTTCATCTCCATCGACATTCAGTTTCCTATTTGTATCTGGATATTAATACCCCAGAATTATTTTATGATAATGTTAGAAAAGCACTTAACACAGTGACTAACAACTACTAAATGCTCAAATCATTGCATTATTCATGCCATGGAGAGGAGTGAGTTTTCTGCCAGTGAATGTCTTCAAATAGAGTCTGGGAGGTGGCTGATTGGAGTATTTATCACGTCGAGAGAAATGGAACCAGATGACCTGAAGTTCTGAGCCATTCTCAGAGACCGTGATTTGAGATATTTATGGAAAAATCTGTTTTGCTTTATTTCAAAACAATAATTTGTTATTTATTCCTTCAGATTTTATAATACTTTTTGGAATGAGACATACACTATAAACCAATTCAAAAAATAGTGCATTTTACAGATACGGAGTTTTAATAGGGCTCAGAAAATTATTTAAAATGCTTTTCATCAAATGCATCTTTATTAGTGGATACAATTTTGTATAACTCTAATCTCGCTAATTTGATTTATATATATTTATTATAAACTCTTAACTAGGTGAGAAACTTAAGACTTAAAAGGATTTTGAGGGGGGAAAAAAGTGATATTCACTCCCCTCCCTTTTTTCTGTATAAGTAGTTCATGAGAAATATTTGCAAAACTCTTTATATACGTAAAACTTAAGCTATTTTAAAACTCCATTAAAATGAAAGTTTTTTTTTTAAATCATGGGCTATTCAACATACAGTAATCAAGCTATTTTACAAATCTGTGACCTCAGTCTTACCAGTTTTCCAAGGAATATGCTGTTTTTTATTGAGGTTTTTTTTTTTCATAACATCTGGAATACATCTAGATCTTTATGATATTTTGTGCTCATGTCTTATCTTGCCAGCTGCTAAGGAGCAGAAATTGTCAAAGAAGATCACTGAACTGACAACCGTATTTCCACACTCCTGCCCTTTGAAATCTGCCTTTTAGTATGTGAGGCAACCTTCATCAGCATGTAGTAGCATGTCGGTGCTGGCTAGTTACTTTTCAAGAGGGAGAAAAATGCCTCAAAATAAACAACGGAATTGCTTCAAGTCAGTTTTAAAATCTTTAGTTTTAATAAAACTAAAATGAGAAAATGTTTTCACATTAACTGCTTGGTGCCATTTTGCTGTTCATCAAACCACTTTAAGTTTACTTTCTTTTAGTTCAGATAATTTAGCTTTTTAGTTTAAAAACATCTCCACAACTTTTAAACTATGCTTATATCTCTCTTGTGAGATATACAGTACACAAATTGTATATACTAAATTATGTATGCCAACATTTTATGTATATATGTGTATGTGTATATGTATATATGTATGTGTGTATGTATGTATATACATACATACACACACACATACATATATATCTTGTGAATTTGACCAGTTACAGTTTCTAGTTTCCGTTTTGTGATACCAGAGTCACAATTCTAGTCAATCTTAGGGTATCATTTTAGTAAGTAGTAACTTTCATCAAACTTTGAAAATTGGGATTACATATGTTAAGCATATTTTAATTTCAGTTGCTAAGAGAAACTAACAGATTATCACTGTATAATGTGTCTGCTGTTACTTCTGCTTATTGAAGAAATCACTGAACTGCCACTGAAGAGTGGGAGGCGCCTAAGAAAGGCTGAGTTCTGGAATGCTGCCAACCCATGAGAAGCATGAATTTCTCCTAAGATGTTTAGGGTTTTCATTTGAAAGGAGTCATCTCATTCAGTAGTATCCTTCTCTTTAAATTGACATGGTTCTATATTTGGCATTTCATTGGAAATGACATCACAACCAAGTCCCTTATTAGAGTAGGCAAGATAAGGAGGTTAGGATAAATATTTGAAGTATAGTTTATCTGCCCATCCTGGAAGGGGAAGAACAATAGCTTATCCATGTTCAGGAAGCTAACATGACCTAAAAATCCTAGTGTTTGCATGGGAGCTAATGAGGCTGTTTACCCTGTTCCCTCGTCTTTGGGCAGTATTACAGTAAACTTAAGTCAGCCTTGCAGAAAGTCAAGTAGAAAAAAACACCTGCTTTTATTTGTGTAACTTTCTGGAGGAAGAACAAGATAATCATCTACGTGGCCAAGAGCCTTCTTTGGTTCCCTTGCACCTTGCTGTTACAAGTTGTAGGATACCCTTGGGTGTTTTTGCTGTGGTTCAGTGTTACAGGCAGAAGGTACAGTACTGAAGTCATTTTAATAATTTGTGTTAATAAAGCCCTTCTGTCAAAACTTACCACAATGAGTGAGGCGATAGAGAAGCTGCATTTTAACCACTTGTGAGATTAACCATGTGAAGATGAGGATCTAGCCTATTTTAAAATGCTATTCTGCAAACTTTACAGGAAGTATATTCTTGTTTAACAGCCCTGTCAGGAGATGATTCCTTGTGTCTAATGTCTGTACCCTGCTGTGTGATGTAAGCATTCCACTTGCTTGTTGTTCAGTGAACATGTTTCCTAGCTCTTTATAACCCTAACTTTCTCATTTCAAAGTGAATCATTTCATATTTTTAACATTTCTTCAGTTCAGTATTAATTCCCCACACATATGCCTGCTAGATCTTCTTTCCCAGTCTTCTGTTTTCTGTCAGCCTTCCCTGAACTGTTCACAGCCACCTGGAGTTATAAAGCCAAGAATTAAACAAAGCATTCTGTGGACAGGAGAGCCAATGCTGGAGATGAAGGTATATTCCTGAATGGCAAATGAGGAACTCCAGTGAACAACCATAACCGGTAAAAATTGTTTTTAAAATAGCTATTTAAAGTCTCTGAAAATTGTCCCAAAGGCATGTAGTTAATGAAAGGTTTATTCAAGAAAATCTAAACCTCGATAAGAACTGTGAGAGTCTGTGACACCAGAGTCATGACCATTCCTTCCCTCCCCCTACCCCAGAACAATGTGGTGTGGCCAAGAAGGTGGGACTCCCCCTTCCCCAGTTCCCAGTAAAGGGCTACAGGAGTTCCCCAGGAGGGGCAGGCTGCCAGCATCTTCCTCTCTCCAAGCTGTGTGTTGAAAAGGCTAAACTCCAGGTGAGGGCAGCCTTGAGTCCAGGGGTCCTCTCCCTTCACTAAGCCCCCACTCATAAAGTGGAGCTTCTTCCCCCAGGCATGACGAGCTGAGATTACAGGAGCTTTGAACACCCTCATCTCAGCTGGCTGGCAGGACAGAGATTTCACACCAAGAGGCAAGCAAAGAAGACCAGAGGCTGCCGCCATCACCTAGTGCCCTGCTTGCAAAGCACAGGTGTCACTCCAAAAACAGCAGGGCACTGACTTCACTCCCATCTCCAGAACAGTGACGTAGAGAATCAGAAATAAAAGGGAGCATGACAACTGACCTCACAAGACCACACATGAATACTATGAACAACTTAACTTAGACAAAAATTTTAAAATTCCATAAAGACAAAAAGTCTGCAGATGACTCAAGAAGAAATAGAACAACTGAATAGACCCATAAACAGATTGAATTAGTAATTTTAAAACATCCCACAAACAAAAGAACAAATGGCTTCCGTGGTAAATTCTACTAAACATTTAAAGAATAAGTAATACCAATTCTCCACAAAACTCTTCCAAAAAATAACAGAGAACACTTTCCAACTCATCCTGTGAGCCTGATACCAAAACAAGATAAAGACATCACAAGAAAAGGAAACTACAAACCAGTATTGCTTGAATATAGATGCAGAAATCCTCAATGAAAAATACTAGCAAACTGTATTTTTAAAATTATGACTGTTAGCTGGGCACAGTGGCTCACACCTGTAATCCCAGCGCTTTAGGAGGCCGAAGTGGGCCTCAAAGCAACAGAGATCAATGTTTGATTTTAAGTGGACTTGGCTTTCAGGTGGAGCAAGTGTGACAGTGTCACATAAATCCATGTGAGGAAGAAACCGCAGCACGTGCTTCCACTGAGAGATAACTGCTGCTTGCAACATGGAGACGAGGATGTCCTGTTGGAACTAAATATGGAAAGTTCCCAGAAGACCGTCCATCACTCTGATCAAGCATTAGGTAAGTCTTGTTATCCATCTGAATAATCACCGTTGTTTCTTTGCCAAGTAGAGGACCTCCTGCCTACACCCCAATTTAACCACAGTGCCCAACAGCCTTGTATTGGGCAGCAGCACTAGGTGATGGCAGGCCTGCCTTGTGTCACCCCAGAGCACAGCCAGGTGGGGTCTCTCCCTTGGATTACGTATCTGGGAGGAAAACCACCTCTTGCCCTAGACCTTTTTGTAAGGCAGGTTTCATTAGACAGGCCCATGTTGTCATCTAATGCCTTTATTCATCCCCAGAGTCGGAAGTTACACCTGTGAGAGCTGTTTTGTGGACTCAGAAGCCCAAGGGACCATGGGGACTGACTAGTGGAACCATCATATTCTTTGGGGAGTCAGGCCCATAGAGCTTGGTATTTATCCACAGCCATATTGTTGGTGGCTGTTATGGTCTGAATATGTGTGTCCCATCAAATTTCATATGTTGAAACCTAAATCCCCAATGCAATAGTGTTGAGAGGTGGGGCTTGAAGAAGTGATTAAGTCATGAGGGCTCCACCCTCACGAATAGAATTAGTGCCCTTATAAAAGAGGCTTGAGGGAGCTCCCTAGTCCCTTCTAGACTAGGGACTAGGGACTGTGAGGAGGCTCCAATAAGGCGTCATCTATGATGAACAGGTTCTCACCAAACACCAAATCTTCTGGTGACTTCCCCACCTCCAGAACTGTAAGCAATAAGCTTCGGTTGTTTATAAATTACCCAGCGTGAGATATTTCATTACAGCTGCCTGAACGGACTAGGAGAGCAGCAAAACTGGGTTTAGAACCCAGGTGTAGAGAAAGCCCAGTCCAGGGCTCTTCCTTTGTGGTGAACACCAGCACAGTCTTACTTATTGCAGCATAAGGGCCTCTAAGACTGCTCAGAAACTCACACTGCAATTTTTTCATCCTATACATCAGAAAAATTGGAAAAAATGACATTCTTTCATCTACTGTTTACCTTGTCTGAAAATGGATAAAATGTTTCCATACCCGTAACAAAATGAGCTTGCTTCTCATGAGATTAAATCTGTTATTTACCCAGAGTTTAAACCTGGGCACAGCAGGAGGTGCCCTTGCCCTCTGGTGTCCTCCTAGGAAGGGTGCTACAGCCCATAGAGACTTTCCAGATTCAGGTGTTTGCCTGATGAATCAGGGACTCTCTGATTTTCCCAGAAATCTCAGGATAACAGCTCTTGTTCTTTACATTACGTTCCCAGGCTTGTTGTAAGTGGCAGTGTGCATTAGGTCATCTTATCTTCACAACATCACCAGGAAGTGAGGACTGTCATTACTCCGATTTACCATTGAGGAAACGGAACCCAGGAGAGGGTAAACGGCACACCCAAAGTCATCCAGCCAGTGCTGCCAAGCCGGGACTCAAACCCAGATCTGCCCAACACTAGAGCCACTGACACTGCTTCATCGTGGGCAACAAAACCCTTTTAATTCAAGTGTTATCAATTTAGGATCTGACATATTTTGGATAAAATATAAAAAGATCACAGGAGGCAGTGTTAAAATGATATATGAGAATAAATTCAAAACACTTCAAAGTCTGTAAAACAAATGACATGTTAATTACAAATGTCCTATTTCCGTTTGAGCAAATCCCAAAAAGACTCTCTTCTAAGCAATTTTCTATTGCTCGAGGTTGAAAGTAATGAAACTGCATTTCCTTTAAAATAGTCTAATTCTGTGGCTCAATTGTTATGAAGAACTATCTAAGTGTAAAATTATGGCTTTAGTTTTACATGATGAAGAAACTGGACTTTTAAAATATCCAAGATCTCTCTTTTTTTTTTTTTTTTTTTTTTTTTTTTTTTTTTTTTTTTTGAGACGGAGTCTCGCCCTGTTGCTCGTGCTGGAGTGCAATGGCATAGTCTTGGCTCACTGCAACCTCTGCCTCCCGGGTTCTCTTGCCTCAGCCTCCCGAGTAGCTGGGATTGCAGGCCCGTGCCACCTCGCCCGGCTAATTTTTTGTATCTTTAGTAGAAACAGGGTTTCACCATGTTGGCCAGGCTGGTCTCGAACTCCTGACCTCGTGATCTGCCCGCCTTAGCCCCACAAAGTGCTGAGATTACAGGTGTGAGCCCCCACGCCCGGCCCCAATATCTCTTTTATTGCTTAAAATTGAAAACATGAATCTTTGGATAAAACTTATAGTCAAAGTTTTTATAATCTAGGAAAGCTATTTGATTCTTACCACTGCTGAAACTACATTTCCTAAATTCTGCTTAATTTGCTAAAAATTCTATTAAATTTAAGCTATAATGAAATCCTCTTGATGTAAATATTTTTGAATACATAAAATGTTACTTTATTGTTCTGCCATTTCATTTTCACCAAATATTATTCTTAGGGATTTCATCCAAGTGAAGAGTGCATGGAGTTACCTTAAAAAAAAAAAAGTCTAATTCTGACTGCATGCATTTAGATCAACCTTGACTTCTTCCCTAAAAGACTACTTTTGTTTATTAAAATACAAAAAAAGTCACAGAGAGTAACAAATTAAACAAGCAATACATCATTTCAGCCCTGGAAATGAGATGCCCACAGAAATAAACTCACAGTAGTGAGAGGAGGACATAACAAAGCCACAGCCAGCTCTCATGAAAGTCACTAACTGTCCCCACCTAAGAAACAAACATTGGGCTCCAAAAAGGCCAGATGTCTTCAATGTCTCAGCCCAGTATTTATTTCTGTTTGACATCCAAATTGACTCCCTCTTTGATGTCCCTTTCTTTTGCATGTGCAGGTACAATATAACTTAATTTTGAAGCATCATCAATCTGGTTTTTAAAACCAACTCCAATAATACTGCCTTAGTCTACAATTAGGATTAGGAACTTAAAAGGGTTCTTCTTACATTTCATTTGAAAATTGATGTCTGCAGTGCTTGTTCATAATTCTCATTACAGTCGCTGGGAAACTGAAAGGGTGGGATTACATTCTCATTTGGAGGAAAGGGTAAGCTGGTTTTCATGCTCTTCCCAGACAGCGATCTCACTTATCCTGGGTGTTTGACGAAGAAGAAAGAGGAAGAAGTTGTTAACTGGAGAACTAGAAGATAGAAATTTGCCATGTGGGCAGTTTAAGGTTCTGTGAACCTGTCTGCTGATATGCGTCTAATTCAGGGCAAAGAGGGGTGAGAGAAGAGGGCTGGCGAAAAACCGAAAAGTGTATTTTAAGCCAGGAAGAGATCTGAAATCTTATGCTGAGTGGCCACAGGAGGCTTAATAATCACTAGAGTGCATGGGAGAGTCCACTTCAAAAGAAAGGGAGTGATGCATTCGTGCCTCAGGGACATAGTAATGCCCTAGGGACTCCAGGACTGTCCCTGTCACAATCTGAAAGCCATAGAGAAACCACTCAGTGCCAGGTTTACATAGAGTGTGTCCTCCTTAAACTTGCTCCTCCAAAGGCTGTGCGACGTGGAGCTGTGTCTGTGTGGGCCCTTGAAGCAACCGGATGCTTGGGCCAGAGAGGAACCGATTTAGGATTTGAAGGTACAAGCAGCTGTCCACAGGAAATCCAAGAGACTTGCCTGAGAAATGAAGAAAACCAGGACACCTTTCACTGACTCCATCTGCAGAACTCAAAAAGACCTGACTTTTTCTCCTTTATGTTGGGATACAAATCCAAATAGCTTTAAAATAATTTTTTAAAAAAACTTTAATGCTTAAGAATCCAGGAGCCCTCCAAAGTCATGGTGTGGAATGTGATGTAATAACCGGAATCATTTGAGCAGAACATTGCTTAAAGAAACCTGCATGTTTATTAAATGACCACCTTGGATATCTTTCCTTTCAGAACAAGAAGTTTGAATCTGAATGGCTGAAAATTAATATTTTCAGTTCATTCATATCACCTGTTTCCTCACTGGGTTAAGATAGTAGAAACCTCATCAAATGGAAAGATCAAGACTCATAACTACGTGTGCAGCTCAGAACTTCATTTTTCTCTTTTTCAGGAGTCCTCTGCATTCTCATTAATCAAAGCAAAGTTTGCAAATTGTAGCTATGTGAAACTTACATAAAATCATTTAGTCCTTGATTTTTTCTCTTTGTTCCTTCTCAGTTAACTTTCAAAAAAAATTTTCCCAAACATCTCCCACTTCAGGAAAAAATTTGACAACCCCTTATAAGCCTGCATATTTTGTGACAGAGCTATGATTATACTCAAGCAGCCTTGTCAAGAGAAGCACACTCCAGCTTTTTTCTGAACCTTGATTTTAAAGAGTGCAGTGAACTCACTGATGTTCTAATAAGAGCTTTCTGCACATCAGAAAAGGAAGGGAAATGGGTGGGACTTATAGAAGGTGATGGTTATCATTAATAAATGAAAGCAAAATAAATAAACATAGCTAGCTAAGCCATGCTACCGAAAGTCAATCTGGCCCTAACTCTCCAGGAAACATAATGGTTCAGTCAGGCTAAGGGATGCCGGCGGGAGAGCAGCACTTCCGGAACCCAGAAGACATCAGGTTTTGTTCTGGAATCTCTGGAATGCAGCTGTCAGTGAACGCAACAGGAAAGTGGGTTTCCTCTGATTATAGAGAAGAACTTGACAACAACTAGACGTGTCCGTAAACAGAAAAGTCAGAAAAAAATTATGTACTCCCCAGTGCAAGAAGCGTGCAAGGAGAGGCCGGGTGACCACCTGGCAGAGAGTGTGTGGAAAGTGTTTCTCCTTTGGGTAGGAGGTGAAACTGGATAACTAAAGGCTTAATGTACCTTCTAACTCTAAGAATCTAAGATTCCATAGCTTTGGATGATCAAGAAAAACCACTCTGGGCCTTAGTTTCCTTATCCGAAAAACAAGAGCCTTGGCACAAAATAGGCCATCTTAGGTCCATCGCAGCCCAAGATGGTATGAATGACCATCTGATAAACTTGTGAAGTTGGAGGCCAGGCTCAGGCATCCCAACTCACTGCCCAGCTTAGAAAGGGTCATCAGACTTCTCTGGGCCTTGCTCTGATGTCGTTTATATAATCCATGGGCAAGCTTGAAGAATGAGATGCTCTCTCATTCTTGGTGGGTGTGCTCAGCCCACCAAGTGCTGGAAGCACCAGACGAAAGGCAAATACAGGCCACATGCCTCAGGTTAAAACGTTTTCAAGGCAGAAGGTTTACTGAACCTTATTTCATACAGTATCAATCAAGAAAAGCATTGGGACCATGCCTCAGAGTTCCTTGTCATGGAATTTAAGGGAGTTTGCCATAAAGCTTATATTGATTATTTGATTTACAGAGTAGGTTTCAAGTCTCAAAGACTTGTTTCTAAAAAGGAAACACCTCCAGTAGGGAGGAGGCACAGTGTCTGCTTGATTTCCAGAAAACTGGTACACCATGCTTCATTCCAGTGACTCTTGGCATTTGTGCCCTATTAATGTTTGCTATAAGTTGGTGCTCAAAGTGTGTTTGGATGAACAAAATAACTTTTATTGAAAGAAAATGTCTGTTTGTAACAAAACTATTTTAAACTTGTATATGCACTTCAAGTGTGTATATTATATAACATATGTTAAATTACCTTGACAATCTGAATTGAGATATCAGTAAAGCAAAGTCTTTGAGGAAATAAAGACATCCGTGATAACATAGGGACATAGGTCAGGGTTACAAGGCTAAATGAAGCCCTGGATACCTTTAGGCCGTTCCCTGACATGCTTCTTAATTTCAGGTTAAATTTGTCCATGATGAAGTGGGTATTTGCCTCTCAGGGAGCCATTTGGTTCCATACATAGAGAGAAAGGATTTGTATGAATCCAAAGAGAAACGTTGACTTATTTTTTCTTTACGCTGTTGGGGAAAGAGAGGGTAAGGGTGCCTTCACCTATAAAGCTAAAATGCAAAGACCCTAAAGACTCTTTCTGCCTATAATGGTTTGAGTCTCAGGTCTCCAGCCATTGAGTTCCAGTCTAGCAGAGCTCGCACTGGGTGAGAAAGAGTCTCTGGACCGGGCACAGTGGCTCACTTGTAATCCCAGCACTTTGAGAGGCCAAATGAGGCAGGTGGATCGCTTGAGGTCAGCAGTTTGAGACCAGCCTGGCCAACACGGTGAAACCCCATCTCTACTAAAACTACAAAAATTAGCTGGGCGTGGTGGCACATGCCTGTAGTCCCATCTATAATACTCAGGAGGCTGAGGCATGAGGATCGCTTGAACTGGGGAGGCGGAGGTTTCAGTGAGTCAAGATTGTGCCACTGTACTCCAGCCCGGGAGACAGAGTGAAACTCTGTCTCAAAAATAAATGAAAGAGTCTCTTATCCTCTCTCCCAGCCCCTCAGGATCCCCTCCAAGCTTCTTCCCACTCCTCCCCAAAGCCTGCTCTGAATTCCCCTGTGAATACCCCCTGAGCATTTTGTTGGTGCCTATTTTGTGATATTCATCCTATTCCACCTCCTGTTCAGCTCAACAGCCCAGCACTCCTTGACACCTTTATGCAGCTTTGTGTCACCTGTGTAGGATCTGGTCCAAAGCAGGGCTTCAAGTAATTGATGAAGAAGTAGCTAACACATGGTTTAGGGTGTCACCCTTCCAAACCTAGGTACA